TGGTGAGCCAGCTGGAGAAGAGACATTCGTGCAGAAAGGCTTTACAGATGCTAATGCTGCTGTCAGCACAGATGCATTTCCACGGGGCCAAACAAGCATACTGACCTTCTGGCTCCCTGCGTTGTGAAGACACTGAGCATTGGCTCATGGCAGATCAGCAGCACAAAAACTCTGACCCACACAAAAAGTCAGGTGGGAAGGGATTTCTAGAAGTCTCTAGTCCAATTATAGCAGGCTCAGTCCAAAGCTAGACCAGCTTGCTTAGGGCCTTGCTCACAAGCTTCTGAACATCTCCAAGGATGGAGATATCCCAGTCTTTTAAGGTACATCTTCCTCTACTGAGCTGCTCTCAAGGGGAAGAAATTTTTTCTTACACATGTTTAGAATTTCTTTGTTTCAGCATTTGACCCTTGTTTGTTGCTGGCTTCCTCTTCTCTACAGCTTTCCTTTAGGTAGGAGCAGACAGCAACTAGACACCCGCTCACTCGTCCCTGTTTAACAAACCCAGCTCCCCCAGGCTTCTCCTTGTGCACCGTGTGCTCTACCCTCCCCGTGGGGGCCTTTTGCTGGCCATGCTGCAGCTTGGGTGTAATCTTCCAGGTGGAGCCTCACACCTCTCAGGTGGATGGGAATAATAATTTCCCTTGATCTGCTGACTACACCTTTGCTAATGCAGCCTAGGGGACCTTCATTGCTTGAAGGGCTCAATGCTGAATCGTGTTTAAACTGCTTCTTGATAACTTTTGTGGGGATCTAATTAATAAAATACAGGGGTTATTGCCCCAGAGAACTTATTGCCCTACTGGAGCAGGCTTTGCCTGTGCCCACTCAAGAGAGACCCTCTCAGGTACTTCTGATGTAACTGTGATTTTTGCCCTGTGCTGAAGGTCTTCAGCCACTCTTGCTGTCCTGACACATCCAATGAGTAATACTTTTTCCTCCTTCGAAATTATGGGATTTGTATTCATGGCACATTGGTCAGAAGTTTCAGTAACCAACTGCCCTTACTACACTACAGTGGCCAAATGAACTCAGCCTGGAGCCAAGGCTGATCCAATCACAGGTTTTTACATTCCTGCCCAACAGGGACCCACCTCCAAGCTCCCAGTTTCTCCCAGTTCCAGAGAAACTTCTTTCACTGAAAAAGGATTGCATTGCATGTGCTTCAAATTCCAGAGTGCATCCCAGGTGTGTGGTTTCTGCTCCTTGCCCTTAACAGAGCAAGATGCCATTATGATGAAATGATTCAGGCAACCAAGCATGTGCAGGATAACACGCATCTATAACTCTCCATTACCGTGTATTTCTAAAAGCTTAAACAACACTAAGCAGAAAAGTTACCAAGCAGGGGAAAATGCAATCTATTTCCATGCAGCAGGAGAAAAAAAAAAAAAAAAAACAAAAAAAAAAGTGGGACACGGAAAAAAAAAACTACCAAGAATGACGTGCTGAAATGCTCTCTGCTGTGTGCTGCCAGGGGATTTAATCAGCCGATTGCCAAAGAGATGTCAGTTCCCTGAAAAGAGTGAGGACAACACGCCTTGCTGAGAAATGTACTCTCAAGATTAAAATACCAGCTGCAGAATAAACCAAATATTGTCCTACAAGCTGCTAAAAATTTGGGTGAGAATGAACAGCTGCCATCCTTAAAATGTGTGTCACTGTATCATCACACCTTCCAAGTCTATCTGTCCATCTCTGCCTACTGGTCAGTATACCCCCAACAAATTCAGGTACCACTTGAGCCAGCTTAATGAGGCCTCATTAGGCCAGGCTTACCAGCCCTAGGAGCCAGCCAAGCAGGATCCTGTGACACAAAATACCACCTATGTTACCAGGACAGCCGCCGTGAGCAGTGCAGTTTACACACAGACAGCAAACAAAAGGTGCTCACGCACAAGGGAGCACAGTGGCACCACGGCAGGATGGTCTGTAACCACAACTGAAGGGCCAGGGGTGTGTGCTCTGTGTTGGGGTGGTGAAAAAAGAGAGAACTGGAGAAATCAGGAGAGTAGATAAAGAAGGAAAGTGCTGAGGTGGGAACGTGACAGTCAGATGTGATTGTGGAGGAGGCAACAAGGATGGGAGATGGAGCAGGCAGCCAGCGTGGAGGTGTGTGTTTGCCACCCTCCCGGGCCAGAGCTGCACAGCAGAAGTTGTTACAAAGGTTGTGAGAGAGCAATTGTCGTGGTAACCGGCTGGCTTTCTCCACGGGTTTTCTTTTCAGAGCTTGTCAGGAGCTGGTGCCCTCAGCAGGAGGTGGGAACCCGGCTGTGTTATTCACATGATTCTTCTCCCAGGAGGGAGGCCCCACTAACCTCCACCTACCACCTGCTCCAGGGCTCCCTCACCTCCTGCAGTCACTCTGCATCGCTGCTGCCTTGTTTCCCTGCTGCAGAGTTGGGAACATCTCTGTCACCCCCTCCCCAGCTCCCTGCCTGGGCAAACGCCATGGCTGGTGCAGCCTGGCCACCCCTCCTCACACAGCTCCGAGCGAGCGGGATAATGGGAGGCTGTACCAAAACTGGCCTTTCTAAAGAAATGAGCCGGTCTGGAGACTGGCCTGGGCCTCTCCACTGCACACATCAAGGTACTTGCTGTGGGGCCAGCTCTCAGCCCAGCCTGTCTCTGAGCACAGCGTAAGGAGGGCACCTCCTCACCCCACACTGCTCCTGCCGCCCCCAGCTCCAGCGATTTTACACAGGTTTTTATTCACCACGCTCCTCAGCTGAGCCCAGCCTGCCAGAGTTATGAAATCCTAGAAGCCCTAAACACACACACACACACGTGGGACACGGGCATGTCTCACCAGGAGAAACCCGCAGTGGCAACCAGGATGCTCTTCCCTTGTGTGGAAAGGAGCAAGAGCTGCCAGCATAAGTAAAGGAGGGAACATAGAGCTGGGAAGGAAGGTAAAGAGATCAGCTGTACTCTCCAGAGACACACACCCGTGTTTCTCTGACTTTGCCTCCTCCGAAGGAAAGGAGGTAAGACAAATCAAGTGTCTGTGGCAGATGTTAGTCACGCTGCCTCACGTGCTGCTGAAGGGTGCTCGGCAGCGCGGGGTGGGAGGGGGAGCAGAAAACTCCAGGCACCCTAAGAAAAATTAACCACTTTGTCCCAATCCTCAAGTGACAATTTCCCTTGCCAGGTATAGGGCATTCTGACAAGCACTCCCGGTTATCAAGTCCAGGCCAGCCCTCTTCGAGGAGACTCACTCCTGTTTCTTCCTAGGTAGCATGCAGGGAGGAAGGAGGCTATAAAGGACACGGGCAAGGAAGAGAGAAGTAAAAGAGATGTCAGTGCCAGGATGGAGCTCCTCTTCCAAGGCATAAGATTGAATACATTTGCTGCGTTGCAGAACGAGGAGAGAAATGTCACCTTCAGAGGTGATCTGACAATCACAAAAATAAATTACATAGAGGAGAGGAAAAAAAAAAAAACACCACACAACAAGATGAGCATTTGTGAATATTCATGAGCAAGTCAAAACCCCCAAATTAACAAGGAAATTAATTTCCAAACTGATTAGGCTGCCAACTCCTTTTATTTAAATAAATCAACAATTGCCTTCATGTGACTCCAGCTGAAGAACGCAGGGCTAATCCCGACTGCTCCAGGAGGAAGTTTGGTGCCGCCTGCGATGACCAACAGCCCAGCACGCTCTGGGGACAGGCAGGCTTCCCTCTGCCCGCTGCTCCGGATGCTGCGGTTTCGCGATCGCCCGAGCCGATCTAACCGCTGCCTGCTGTGCTTGTGCTCTGCCTGCTCCCACCCTCTTACTCATGCTGGCTCGGAAAAGCTGTTCCAGCATGCCAAGCTGGCAGAAAACTCACGCAACAATTAAAAAAAGAGGTTTCTGTCAAGTCAGAGCACTGGAAACAGCTCAGCCAAACGCGCGGCGCGCAACACCACAGGTGAGGGAGGCAACCCAGCCTGACCTGGAGGTGGGCCCAGCGCCAAAGTTAACCCTGCTACGAGTAGCGGAACGAAGCCTATCTCATCCTGAGGCGTCTAAAGCGGAGCAGAGCAGCAACGTGGCGATTTGGTGCGGTGTCTCACCTCACCTCGTGTTCACAACTCCGCAGCAGTGCGGCGTGGGGCTGACCAGCCAGCCGGCCTTAGCGGTGTGCGGGGGCGGCTCCGTGCCGGGTCCCGCAGGAGCAGCCCGGCCGTGCCCGGGGCTCGGGGCTCGGGCCGCTCCTCCCGCCGTGCCCGGGGCTCGGGGCTCGGAGCGCAGGCCGCCCCCCCCGCCGTGCCCGGGGCTCGGGGCTCGGAGCGCGGGCCGCTCCTCCCGCCGTGCCCGGGGCTCGGGGCTCGGGCCGCTCCTCCCGCTGCGCGGCAGCGCTCGGGAGGCAGCGGGAGACTGCCAGACGGAACTTGGGTGGGCTGCCTGTGAAACGGAGTTCTCAGCGACTGGGAAGGAGGGTGCGCTGCAGCCCCCTCTGGGGCCAGGTGCGCACGGTTACAAGTACAAGGACAGTCGGCGTGTGGCCGAGGTCACACGGAGCCCCGGCGGCGGGAACAGGGCTGCCCTGCTGCCCTCCACGCCCGGCCTTGCCCTCCTGTTCCCGACAGGGAATGAGATGGTCCGGTGTGCCCATTCTGGCACAAGGCCAGCTGGCGGGAAGTCCTTTCTGCGGGCTTAGCAGGACAAACACGTTTAACAGCGTGCCAGGAAACGCTCGAGCCAGCGCGGGCTGGGACCATCCCAGGCGCTGGCAGCCCAACTTTGGGACAACTCCTCTGGATCATCGCGGCGGGCCGGGACCGTCCCAGGCGCTGGCAGGCACAGCGCTCGGGAAAACTCCTCCGCACCAGCCCCATCCCGCGCCGACCCGGCGGCGGCCGAATTACTATTCACGATGGCTCATGAATATTCATGAGGGCGGCCGCCTCCCCCCCCTCCGCCCGCCCGCGTCACGTGACGCCGCGAGGCCGGAAGCGGCCCTGCCGGCCGGGCTCGGGGACGCCGCGCGCCCGCCC